ATGTTCAATAATAAAGCTGATTCTGATTCAAGAGTTGGACGAGTGAATGTGTTGGAATAATGTGTTTGGAGATAATCTGTCTCCTGTGTGGGGAAACAGCAGCAGGCTGCCATAACCTCCCTGAGCGGTGCTTCCTTACATACCGGGGTATTAAGAGGTCCCTGGCCTTCTTTGCCTAATTTGTGTCAGTGTTCTTATCTGAAATAATTGGATAAACAGACCAGAAGTGTAATAGACTGAGGCAGAGTGGGGATTTGAGTGATGAGCCCGTGCAGTCCCATTGATCTAATTTCCTAGATGATGGTTTTAATTAAATAGTGTGAAGTCTGCACACTGTTTCCTTCATGTCTCCAATCATGGAAGAGGCAGCCTGCTGCAGGCTATTCATAGCTGAGCTGTGTGAGGATGTAAGGTGAAACAGTTGAAGTGCTGAGCTCTGGCAATATGTTGTGCTGATGCCTCCTCAATGTTAACACGTCGTCCTGTGGGATAAAAATGTTCATGTGACATGGATGTATTCTTTAAATATCAGTGTTTTAGCAGGAGTATTTTATTATGTATGAGTATAATCTTATTCAGGAGGAGAGCAGCACTAGAGACTGCATGAAGGCACTTTGTTAACCCTTTCATTTAAAGCAGCACATCTGAGATGCTAAATGTGTATGTGAGGCTTCATCATGGCTCTAGTAATGGAAATGGAAGACTTGTGTTGGCTAAACCAGTACATGTGTGGTCTCCTCCTCCTCCTGGTGCCCGTAGCCAGGTCTCCTTGAAGTGTTCCTGTCATGGCTTCCAAAGTCATACCTTGGTATAAGAAGAAGCACCAGAGCCAAGTCAAAACTGACTATGCTTATCATCACTCTAAACATGTCGTCAAGGAGCAGGCGGACAGGTATGAAGGTGATGTTTGGACACACGCCGCTCTCGCTGCTTCGCCAGGTTCAGATGCATAGAGGCGCTGCAGTAACGGGGGTGCTCTCCGCTTCCTAGCCGACCGGCTCTTTAATTCATCTGCTCAGTTTGATAGAACTGACCAAATTCAAGCCTTTTGTAACCACACAGATAATGACTCCTTTAACATTTGCTCCTGTTTTTAATTCTTTTAACCACACTGACAGATGGGATTGTAACCTGTTATCTCTTCTGTTTCTGTCTTTAATACAGTTTTGCTAACTTTATTTTATCTTTGCAGCTTTGGATTTATTTCTGTCATTGTGTTGTCTGGTTTTATAACCGCTGCTGTTTTGGCCAGGGCACTGCTGTAACAGAGGCTCCTAAGAGCATCACCGCGGTGACTCCAGGTTTTACCTGGAAAAACATTGCTTACATTTCAAAAACTGTCTTCTGAGTTCAAAGCTGTGCGGGGCCGGATTCTAATAAATTAATCAGCCCATCACAAAGTGATAAAAGTTAATGACTGCAGCAGTACTGAACCTTTAATAACCGAGAGACTGAATTTACAGTGGAGTCTCAGATGATGAGCAGTGAATCAGGTCTAATCTGTCTCCTAAATAATCAGCAGCAGCAGCTCCACCAATAAAACTGGGCTCACTGCCCCTTTGTTTATATTGGATCTGCAGCATCACTGACCTCACAGGACTGTTTAATGCCTCAACTTAAACCCATTCACCTGCACAACCTGTGTTGCTATAACTCAACAAAGCATCACAAGCAGTAGATTTGTTTAAATGCCCAGAAAATCGCCTTGTTTTTATGATTTTCATTGACTTACCACAAGTAAATTTGATCTCTTACAGCTGCATGTGCAAAGTTGCCCACAGCAGTATTTCTGTTCATAAAGAAGCATTTGTCATTTGTTATATGCGTAGGACCCTTTGTGTGCTGCTGCTTGTCTGACAGTGGTGTAGTTTAAGATAAGAAATGATCCATGTGATCAGGAAATACTTTAACCTGTGTGTTCAAAGTACAAGGTTCACAGCTTGTAGAGGCTAAAACAACACAGACGCATGAAGGCACGTCTGCACTGTGCACATTAACGATGGCCAGTGAGTGTGTGACTTCCAGCCGTTACATGTTGTAACCCCTGAGTCCGACCTATAGAAGCTGCTGTTGCTTCTGATGCTCAGCAGCTTCAGGCAACAGATTTTGGTTTGTTTTGTTATGACAGGCCACATTTAAAATGCATTGCACCTTCCCTGGCTCTGAGCCCAGCTCGGCCACGCGGCACACTGCGGCGATGCTCTGTGCTGAACTTGAGACAAAGCTGCAGCTGTGGCTTTGCCGTTACTCCTGATGAGATGAGAGCAGAATGTAAAACCGCCTCGAGGCCCACACCTGAAGCACCACAAGCCAATTCTGATCACCAGGTTGTCCTGTAGTGGCCTGCCTTAGTCACCTGCCTTCCCCCTGAACCTGACCAACATCTTAGGCCAGTGATCAGAGCTGTAGACACCAACAGCAGTACTGACCGAGTGTCTCTGAAGTTTCCTCTAGAGGGGTGAAAATGTTCGGATTAGTCTCTATACAGGACGTGACCATTCATTCAATCAACCGTGTTAATGCGGTCTTTCAAATAAAAAGTTTGAATGAACTCTGAGTCCACGTCCCTGATACTCACCTGTATCAGACTCTAACCACCATCAGCCTGTAGACAGTAGATCTGGCTACACATCCATCAAAGTGTTTTTTCACTTTAAAGCAGATTAATTGATACAATTAAAAGGATGTTTAAGATACTGAATAAATAGTATAGGACTGCATTATACAGGTGGTGCAAATGATAGAAGTGGGTTTAATATACAGTAGGCGAGCACCTTATTGTATCTATCCAGATGAAACTGAACTACATGAACACATGATTTTACAGACAAGCAGGTTTTCATTTATAGGAAGTTGGTGCCATTTTGTAGGATTGTATATTCACTTTAAAGGGAAGAAAAACCTCACGTGCACTGTGGGATATTTCAGCCCAACAACTGCTTCTGCAAACTAAAACCCCAGGTCCATTATATGTTGGGATTTGCCTTTAATGACTCTTTGATAACTCTAAACTTTCTCTTTAACAGGAAATTCACCTGTGTGTGCCAGATGCAGGACACAGAGGGGGAACTGGCCTACACCATACCGGTGTTCAGGCAGAGGTGAGTTCCCACATCGGGTTACTGTAGGCGTAAGGTCACAGTGAAACAATTTATAAGTTATAAACTGTAAAACAGTTGCTGTAGGTTTCATTGGTCAAATACACAAGACTGATTCTGGCTAATGTTATGGCTCAGTACAAAGATCTGCCAATGTTTGAGAGCTAAAATGAAATAATTACAAATCCCCAGAGCTTGAATCTAATTTGCAGATATAAACTGTTCTTCCAATTCTGCTCCCCAGTGTATTTAGTTCAGTCATAGGATGCAGATGAACTGGAATCTGCTATGTAATTTAAAATTCAGGGGCTCAGTTTGTGTCATAAAAGACAAAAACAGCCCCTTTTTTATTGCATAGTTAATAAACGTGTTTGTTTCCGGACATATTCACTATGAAGCCTGAACATGATCAATTAAAAACCTAACTATCTAGCACCCGGTGAGCTATCTAGACAACGTCAGGTCTGTTAATCCTATGTGCTTTTATAACCGTTCGAGTCCTAGTTTAGGGGTTTAATATGGTTGTTGTACCGTCAGGACCGCTGAGGAGACTGAGGAGTACCAGAGAGTGACTACAAAAGTTGAGAAAGGACTGGCTAGTATTCAGGAGGAGCTCCACAGAATGAGGATGGCCACTAAGGCCCAAGTGGACAGTCTCGCTATCCAGAGAGAGGTACATGTTTCAGTGGTTACTGTACTTACGATGTTGTCGTGTCTTGTTTATTTGTTGTTTTTGTGTGTGTGTGTAACTAAAATGAAACCTAAACAACACTCATTCCTGGAATCATGGCTGTTGCATTTTTTTTAATTATCTTACTTTTCACAGCCAAAGTTAAAACCTGGTTAATTTACCAGCCTGAGTACAGTGTCACCACAGGTTGGCATCAGTGGCTTAAATGACAAAAGTCAAATAATTCAATGTGATTACACAACATTTTGTATCAGGGATACGCAGATGATACATTTCTATTTTATCAAAACAGTCTGGTCTTATTGCCACAGAGCATCAGTGTAGTGTCTGGTCAAAGCTTTCTGTGGCTTCAATAGGCACAAAATACAGATAATAAATATAAAACTGAACTTTTAGGTGTTAATGACTGCAAGCAGTTAGTGGTACTGTCTCTACTTCAGCTCATTCACCATTCTGCTGCTAGAACTTTAAAGAGTGGATTTATTCCCTTTTCTACTACCTTTCATTGGGTCAAAACTAGAAATGTAATACAATAGACACTGATATAGATATATACCCTCCCAGGTAATCTGGAATTGGCTGCCTCATTTTGCTGTGAGAAGACAGATGAACGATGCTAAAGCTCAATGTTGATGGTGGTGACTGCGTGGCTAACTGCCGCCTGCTGAGCTCGCCCCTTTAATCCTAGTGCTGTGGATAGATTTCACATTTGTTAATAGTGATGTCAGCTGGGAAATGTTGACGACAACGTGATAGTGGGAATCGTAATGATGTCATCTTTTCATAGAAACAAGTGGTGCATGCGCTCACTATGCACGACAAATATGTAAACCTAAACAACAGCACTTTAACCCGAGTCACAGTTTCATTCCAAATCACCAGTATAATACAGCTAATGCCATTTGCTGTCCTCAGGTGAAGGAGATGATGTACAGGAGGGTGTATTTGTTGGAGGAAATTCCCAGGACGCCTGATTTCCTGGTGGCTCTGCGGCCCCACACCGTTTGGGAGAAGATGCCTGTCAAACTGTTCTGCACAGTGATGGGAAAGCCGAGACCCATTGTCCAATGGTCAGAATATGCAGAACTCTCTGATTCATGGACAGTGTAAAAAAAAGCTCATTTAAAAGGAAGTGGAAGCTGATGACACATCTTAAAAAAAACACAACAACCTATTTATACAAGTGACAAAACACAGCAGATGTTCCCAAAGAACTTAATTACTATATGCTTTTGTTTTGATGTACTCCTCATTATGGTAGATATTGATAGTTTAAAGTCTAGTTTAGTTGTTTTACAATATCCAGGAAAGCATAGTGGCATGTTTACCCTCCCATCAGCCAGCACCTTGTCAGCGTCTGCTGCTGTTTGAGTCCACAGCTCTACTGTCAGACGGACCATCAGAGTGCCCCATGCACAGACTGATATATATTTACCAGTTTCTGTGGAGGCGTCACTGACTGCTGACTGTTTGCAGGTATAAAGGAGGCGTGCCCATCAGCCCACCGAGCACCCCAGGAAAGTACAGGATCGAAAGCAAGTATGGAGTTCACAGTTTGATCATTAGCAGGTATGGAGTTTTCATAACAACATCACACAGTTTCTAATGAGATGAACAGTATGAAGCAGATGAAGCCCCTTTTCCATTCGCCCGGTACTGGCCCAACTCGACTCTACTCACTTTTGTACAGGGAAACACGTTTCCTAACTGTACATATGACAAATAAACACTTTGACCTTGACCTTTTGGTACTGGGTGCTTGGTTCTCCACAGCAGATGGTCCCTCTCAGTGTAGCTGGTTGTCATAGTGACACTGCATCACACTGCTGTGATGTCGTCACTGACCGACACAACAGAGGACATCGAAGGTACGCTGTTCTTGAATCTTGGTACATGTCTACACCTCCTCATTTGACCACCATGTGGTTTTGCAAGCTGCCATGTAATCAGTAGGGTTTAAGTAATTATAAATACAGGATAAGTAGTTAGTACAGTAACTAGAGTAAAGCAGCACTTAGCTTTAAGTAACGTTGCTTTTACAAATGGTGCTTGCTTTGTTCCAAGATATCTCGCACATTGATGACGCGATCTCTCTGACCAATCACTAGTCTGCAGTGTTTACACGTCACCGTTCGGTATCGCCTCTGCTCGCTTTGAACCTCCACGGAGGTGATAGTGCCAGGTACTATCCCAACATCTGGCTTATGGGAACACAAATAAGGCGAGTTGAGTACCAGGCGGTGGAGAAGGGGCTTTAGAGAGTCCAGGCTGTAAAAGTATTCTGACAACCTGGAGCCTGAGTTATTAGCCGCTCTTTTGAACAAATACCACTACATTTTGCAGTTTTCTTTTAGCAGCTTATTAAGATATGGTTTGGTTTATAATCACAGGTTGGAAGACTGTGAAAAAGTATTAAAAAGAAACACCTCACATAACATTGTATGGACAGTTTTGAAAATGTCAGTTTAATTGTACGGTTTGCTGAAATAAAAAGGGACTGTGATACATTTTGGAACTGAAACACAAACCTATTGCTGAAATTTGGAGCAACAAGCAAATCAACGTACAACTTTGTCCTGTACAGTTTGATAATACACAAAGTCTGGAACCTTGAACTTGTAAAATATGAAGGACCTGTGGAAGAGGCTGAGCTACTGAGAAAGACAAAGGTCACTGGTGGGATTAAGGGGGCTTCCAGTGAATTACTGCAAAACAAAATAATCTCCTTTGTGACTTTTAAAACCGTTAATGTTTTACTTTTACTTGTGCTGCCAAAATTAAGACCATTTGTTGGAGAGAGAAGAGGGTTAGGTTGGAGGCCGGGCCCCAGCCTGCTGGTCTGTTCGTCATCTTCAAGTCTCCTCAGCTGTTCGTGTCAAAGTGCTGACCTTTGCGTCATTGGAGGCATAAATACTTGCCACTGCTTGCTCTCTCTCTCTCAGGCATTGAATACCTCTGGTCCTCTGTCATTACAGGACTGGTTCAGTGAAAAGCCTGTCCTCCTGATTATGTCCCTGACTTTGTAAAAATGAAAAATGTCCTGTTTCAGAGTGCAAGAAGAACCAAGTGCCAAGCTACTTTAGAAAAAAGCACAGACTCTGTTTATGTCAGCTGAGAAGATGGATTACCTTTAAAATAGTTCTGTGCAGGATGAAGGTCATGTTTCTTCCTCTTCTATTCTCACCATCAGACTTGTGTTAGATTGCTGCCACCAGGGCGCTGCTGCCTTGGTGACGAAGGGCACGTTGGTGCTCTGCTGTAATCAGACAGTGACTTGGGTTGACAGTTAACAGCTGACCTTGGAGATCTGCTGAGGTGTTGTTGTGGAAAGAAAGCTTTCATATTAGAAACATATTTCTGTTCAATGTCCTTATCTCTGACTGTTACAGTGCCATGACTTTAACATGGGGTCAGTTTTCAGCTGGTGGTTCCTGTTCTTTTTGTCTGCCAGGTTGAATATGACCCATTACAATGGCGTAATTTCCATCAGGGGTCGTGTTCTAACTGTGTAAAATCTCATTTCTCCCATCACGTTTGCACTGACAAACTGCTGTTTCCTCGCAGGTTTTTCTTTTCAGCCTACACACCAGGTGTCTTAGGCCTATATAATGTTGGGGTTTGGGGCCTTGAGAGGAGGGTAGGAGCAAAACCGTGAATGTAAATTTTGATTTACAAAAAACTATGTTACGTAATTACAGACTCCTAAAAACGCTTGAGTTGAACACCGGTCAATAAACATTATCAGTCGTGAATTATTTGAGGTCTCTGTCAATGTGTTGTTAGTTTGATACAAATCATTTTAAATACACAAGGTAGACTTCAAACTGTTTTGGTGCTTTCTAAGAACTCATGATTTTGTTTCGTATGCCCCACCCCTATAAACAATCTTTGACCTGTTGCTAACAGTAGAATACTTCTTCTTGGAGTATTGTGGTACTGACTTTTCCATTCTGTCTGCTTTTGTACTGTAGGTGTGCTGTAAGTGACACTGCCGAGTACAGTGCGGTGGCAACCAACCCGCACGGCACGGCTACCAGCATGGCTACAGTTATTGTGAAGAGTAAGTCATTCTTTTAGTCTGACTTAGTCGTGATACGAGTCTCTGCCTGTCATGTTTCTCTCTGTAATGGTGATTTTGTCTTCTTCACAGGACCAGCAGGAGCTGGGGAGTACTGCCATCTCGGTCTAGGTGAGAGGAGTGAGGGTGTAGCTCAGGCCCAGACACAACCAGTAATGCATGAGATCAGTTGGCTACAAATAGCAAGTGAAGGGGCCTGATAAGAAGTCAAAATGTTGAGAACCTGTTGTCATGGTTTAAGAATGGGACAGAGTAAAAACAAGAGAAGCCTCTGTGCACAGCACACTGTTCAGGATCTCGTGGTCTAAGAAAACATCCACCTGTAATGTGTTTGTGTTTAGGAAGTTAAATAATGACCAGGTTAATTTAATAATTATCTCCACCAAAGTAGAGTGTGGATACCCAAACCAAGCCCAACAGGACCCATCAGGTCCCCAAGGGTTCAGGCCAGGTTCGGACAGAAATTTTGGAATTGTGTTTGGGTTTGGGTCGGGTTCGGCCACCCAGGTCAAACTTGAGGCTAGACGGCTGGACCCCTCAAATACAGTATCTGCTTCATTTAATGATAAGGGGGAAAATACCATATGAAATCAACTGTGTCGGGCTCAGGTCGAGTTCGCACACTATATTCTAAAAGCTTGTCGGGTCCAGGTCGTGTTAGGATGCCACACTCTCAGACGCAGGTCGTCTTCAGACAGAAAAATGTGGCCCCATCTGGGCTCTAGACTACAGCACCCTTCTGGTTTGACTCAGTTAGTATGTAACTGTAGTACTTTATTAGAGATGCATCAGGAGCCCAGGTTTTGTCAAAACAAATAAATTACAGTGTCTACCATCCAAACTGTTGCACATTATGCAGCCTGTAAAGCACAGGTCTCAGTGAACTTCAGGAAGACGACTCGCTCTGAAAACCACTTGTTTAACATGAGAGTTTAAACCATGAGCTTAGATGTTGCTGATGTTTCACTTCCTGTGTCCTTGCTGACCAGTGCCCCATCTGACTGACATCCATGCCAGTAAGCTGGAGGTCAGCCTGATCGATCGTTTCCATGTGTCCTTTGGTGTGGAGGGCAGTTCCATCAGTCTGGTGTGTACCATGGCAGTCGTCCCCGACCTCCCCAACCTACCACCCTACGCCCAGTGGTACAGAGACGGTAAGGCGTGAAATTAATCTGCCAGTCATTTGTCTGTGGAGCTGGTGTTTGTGTAGTGTCTGCCTTAAGGATATGTTAACATTGTGGCTGCCTCAGAGACCAACAGACAGTTTTACTGTGTGTTTCCATTACCTGTCACAGTTTCTTCCTCTTTTTTCTGCTGACAGATAAACTGCTGAAGCCAGGTAAGCTGGTGGAGATGTCGGTGGGCGGAGGCGTGGCCCGTCTGACGCTGCCCCATCTGGCCAAGGACGACGAGGGCCTCTACACCCTCCGCATCTTTACAAAAGACGGCACTGCCGAGCATAGCGCCTACCTGTTTGTCTCAGGTAGGATGAAAACCTCCTGCGTGTTTGTGTAGGGTCTGCCTTAAGTATATGTTAGCATGGTGGCTGCCTCAGAGACCAACAGACAGTTTTACTGTGTGTTTCCATTACCTGTCACAGTTTCTTCCTCTTTTTTCTGCTGACAGATAAACTGCTGAAGCCAGGTAAGCTGGTGGAGATGTCGGTGGGCGGAGGCGTGGCCCGTCTGACGCTGCCCCATCTGGCCAAGGACGACGAGGGCCTCTACACCCTCCGCATCTTTACAAAAGACGGCACTGCCGAGCATAGCGCCTACCTGTTTGTCTCAGGTAGGATGAAAACCTCCTGCACTAAACAGTGTATCTGGGTGACATTTTGTAGGTCATCTGAAGGATTTTGTTACTGTGAAAAAATACATTTACAGAGCAAAGCACTGGCTGAGCAAGCGGTATAAAAGAGCTCCACCTATAGAAACTCAAACCTCACCTGAGGAAAACTAATGAAAACTCCTGTTTGACAGGGGACCTCTGAAAGCTGCAGGACAGGAGCAGCACACCTGCAGCAGCACCAAATCTGCAGAAGGGAAAGATAAAACTGAAGGAAAAGAAAATGATGAACTTATTTCTCCCTTTAGTGGATCATATCTGGCCAAAATGTCAGCCCATTGCAGATGTCACATTGGTTGTGACAGCTGAGGTTCAGTCTGTTCCCACTGGACCTGGTCTCAGAATGTGCCTCAGCAGGACGGATCACTTTCCTGATAACTGGTGGACTCAGTGAGGGCTTCACTCGAGTATCTGTAGTTCCATAATCAGCAGTATGTTTGGTTGTGAGCTGTGATTCAAATCTAATGAAGGGTTTTAATCATCACTACAGTCAACAGACAGGCACGCTAATAAAATCACAAGCAAAGAAATAAAAGTAGGTGCGGTTACTTGTCCATAACACAGTGTGATGAGAATATGAAGATAAAGTAAGAGAAGGGACAACTGAACATTTTGCGTATTGGATTCATCTGACTCTTTCTGTTCTTTTTGTAAATTTTGGCTGACGTAGCATCTTGTGGTTTCTTCCCTCCTTCCTGCCCTGTGTCCTTGTTTCCTTCCTCCTTAGACGCCACTCCCACCACAGCCGGCGCCCCGGGTGCACCAATGAGCGTAAAGGCCTATGACATCAACTCGGAGTACATCCTGGTTGCCTGGAAACCCCCCAACATCGTCAGTGAGGCACCAATCACCGGATACTTTGTGGACCGGTCAGTCTACACCCTGACACCTCTTCAGTCCTCCTTTTTATAGATGGGAGCTGGCACGCCGACATGAATACAATAAATCAGGATGCACTCAATGCCAAAGAAACGACTACAAGTCATAGTGTTTAAAGCTGCGGTGATTGGCCGATGAATCAATTAGTCAGATGAAACAAAATTAGTCTGCAGCTGCTTTGATGAGCAATGAGTTGTTTAAGGTCTGACACTGTTGTGAAGTGAACGTTTTGGGGTTTTGGCCAACACATTTCGTTATGTTACCTCTGGAAACTCCATGGCTGTTTGTTTTCTGACATTATATAGACCAAATGAGAATGTTTAGTTGATTAATTGCTTTATCTAAATGACCAAAACAGAAATATTTAATGCATGATTAAGTAAAAAAAAAGTTCAAGTTTAATGTCTAAATGTTTTCATAAACTTTATTATTGCACTTTTTTCAAACATTGTCCTTTCCAACTTACTATGCAGAATCATGCAGCAGTGATGTTAGACATTAATCTTGGTACCACATTTAAATTACTGATTGTTTGTTTACCCTCAATTTACACTGCTTCCTGAAAAACAGTGACTTTCAGCCACTTCAAAATTTTCCTTTACACTGTAGAAACAAGAATTTTGTATTTTTAAAACTGAAGACGTTAATAAATGAGTTTGACCTGCTGCTGATGCCGCCTCCTTGTCCAATGTGTAGGTGTGAAGCTGGCAGCGACACCTGGGTCCAGTGCAACGATGCCCCAGTGAAGGTGTGTAAATACCCGGTGCACGGCCTGAGCGTGGGCCACTCCTACCATTTCCGGGTCAGAGCCGTCAACAGCGCCGGCATCAGCAGGCCGTCACGCAAGTCAGACAAAGTGACCGCCCTGGACGAGGCCGAGAGCGCAAGGCTGCAAGGTACCGAGGAAGGTAAATACACAGCACACGTCAGCAGGATGTGAGTGTTTCCTAACGGGTCTGTTGCTGTCATTTCCCGCAACAGTGATTAAAAACCAAGGAAAATACGACGTAGTGTTCAAGGATGACAAAATGGAAGGTACAGTATTGCACATAGACTGATCTGGGATCAGATTTCTAAAACACTTCCTCACAATCTCTCACAGGCCACATACTAACGACAGCCCCTCTGTCCAGACACTACCTTAACATTTACTGTGTAATTAAAAGCTGAGTTCCACTGTAAATAACAACACAGTCCTCACTCTCGTCCACCTTCACATCTTTCATCAGCATTTCGCAGCCAAACATTTGAGGGTTGTCTCACGCTGTCAGTCAACTTCTCATACCTTGTCCGGACAAATCAGCTTTTATGGTTTAAGGTTCAGTGACCAACCTTTGAATCAGGTTCTGCAAAAGACAAAAAGGACCACCTGAATAAAAAGTTCTATGGATTCATTTTAAAATGATAAAAACAACAACACAGTTTTCACTATAACTTAATCATATTTCACTATAACAATGGAAACACAGTAAAACTGTCTGTTGGTCTCTGAGGCACCATATGAGTAAGTTACCAGATGTTTTTTTTTATCTTGGAACAAAAACATAAAAGTTTAACACTAAATGTTCAGAACTAAAAACAATGCTAACATCTGTGCTGTCGTGTCAAAGCTAATCAGTAACATCTTTACATGAGCCAAAACAGTTTCATCTCCTCCCGTCCTACCTGCTGTGATTCCAATCTAACCCCACCTCTTCCGGTCAAGCGGAACGTTTTCTCGTCCACGTTAACACAACCCTACCGCACAAAAACTAATTTAAAAATGAAAAGAATATGTTAATGCACATCCATTCCATTTTACAGATGAGTCTGTTGTAAAGATTTTATTGCATCGCACTCCCCTGTTACTAAACTTCAGGTCCTTATGGTTCTAAAGAGACGCTATGAGAAATTCAAAGTATTCCTGCCTTTAGGGTTTATGTCCTTTCATGTCTCATAATGCAGACACTTTAATCTTTCTTTTAAAAAGCTGAATCATGATACTGAGGTTTTCAGTCCATATTATGATCTGAATGAGTACCTACTACCCTCCTGGCTCCTACTGTAAAACCACAGTGTCATGTAGTAAAGGTAAGACTTCAAACCATATCCACTGCCAGTGGATATGTTGCTGTTGTCAGACACTAACAAATGTCTAGTTTTACTGCAACATCTTAAATTTAAATATCAAAGACCATTTTTTTCTAGTGAGTATTGTAATAAAGGCCAAACAGTCATTGTTCATCTACTTAGAAACACATGAAGAAAGTAAGCAAATACTGTATGTTGTTTGTCAGTCTGGTGGAGCAGAGGCCTTCAGTAAATGGACTACTGCCATCAGCCAGTTAGAGCTGTATCTTCTCAACAACTCTTTAAACAAACTCCATTTATTAATCAATATTTTTTACAACATTCAGTTAAAACCTCCAGCTGCTGCTGCTGTGTGTGCTCTGTGCGCCAACACCATTCACTCCCAATCCAGGCCTTGTAACTGTCCCAGGGGAGCCCACCGATGTGCACGCATCCGAGATTTTCAAATCGTACGTTGTGCTGAGCTGGAAGCCCCCCAGCCACCGTGGACGAGCTCCGCTGTGGTACATCATTGAGAAGGTGTGTGTGTGTTGCTTCACCGTCAGTGTAGCTCTTTGTTCAACTCAGCAGTGTAGTGGGAAGAAAGAGAAGACGATAACCTGCTTTAATTCTCCTTTAAATGATCCTTAAAGTTTCTTTAAGTCTCTCCCATGCGACGTGACAGTATTGAATATTGGCCCTCCTTCACCTTTTTGGCTGCACCATCGCATATTATTTTAACATGTTAACACATTTAACTAAAGCTGAGCCTGACATATTTTCTGTGCTTCTAAACTTTGGGATCTCTGCTGTAATACAGAAACACCTCTGAACGTAGGTTTGTAAAAAAAAAAAAAAAACACCGTTTAAGAGGTAAATATGTTTTTTTATGCTTATGTAATGTTACAAGCTCATCAGCTGTCACTGTACTGCTGGCGCTCCAAGTATAAACGATGCTTTTCAGGATCTCTCTGTTCACAACTTTAATATATTGTTGCTTGTTTGATTTTTGCATCTTTAAAAGTTCTTACCTTCTTACATACCTTGGACTCTACTTTTTCACTGCCAGAAGTGAGAAATGTTAACTTTTTTGATAAGTTTATGTAGAAAACCACTGTAGTTGCCAGTGTATTATTAAATGTGTACACTCTGAAAAGGCAATCTGCCCAAAAAGTTGTGTTCATCAAACCTGACACACAAATAGTTGTAGGACTTTTCAGATTTATGCATCACACAACTCACTGTCTGAAATCTCCTCTTTGTGTTTGTGCTACGATGGTGAGGTTGTATTGTCTCATGCCCCCCCCCATGACTCTCCCCTCAGTGCTTAGCAGGCACTGGAGCGTGGCAGCACATCAACACAGCAGTCAAACTGCACTCCCCTCGTTATCCGGTTTTTGATTTGCAAGATGGACAAACGTACCAGTTCCGAGTGTATTCGGTCAACGTGCACGGCTGCAGTGAGGCCTCCGCGCCCTCTGAGCCCATCCGGAAGGTTGATGAGGATGGTAAGAGCTGGGACCAGTGCACAGACATTTAGACATGCTGTCATACTGTGTGTAACGCACAGTACACTGCACACCAACATGAACATTACACCTTCATAGAAAAACACAGGCACTGATAATGAGTTGACTGCCCACAGTGATGAAGTGCTACCACCAGTAAACTGGTTCCAGTCACACCTGTACTGTGACACATACACACACATTTAAACAGACGCAAATAAAGTTTAAAGAGCCCACGGCGCGTTACAACGGTGAATTATCACCTTAGACGTGACCTAAAGATCAAAAAAATGAGCTGAACGTATGTTCCAGTGTTTCTATGCAGAAGCAACTCGGTTTTTACACGCTCACAAGACTTTCTTTCTAACAAAATAAAGTATTATGTGATCACTTAAGGATTTCTTTGAATGGTCATAATCTCCAGGCCGTTGTGCGTTCATGTGAGCTTGCCTGACATCCACGTAAAATCGAATTTTTTCAACTGCACCTGGTTTTGTGGATATACAGTATTTTCCCTCCTGCTGCTGCACTGTGACCAGAGGATGTGGAGAAGAATACAGGGCCTGAGGTTACGGCATGTCTGGGATTGTTCCTGTACAGGGACTTGCTGTTTTACCTGACCGGGTCTAACCTACAAGCAGCCAGCCTGTGAAGCCCCCACAGCGGTTAGTGATCAGGTGATCAACGCTGGATTCCCCCGGAGCACAGCACCTGTTTGTTTTGACTGCTTGACGCCAGTGTGAAACTCAGTTTTATGTAACAACCATGTCAGAGGTTGGAGTTAGGATAAAGTTAGGATTCAGGTTAGGGGAAACACATCTTGATGGGGAAACAGATTTCAACACAACACTGGCATGTTCACAAACTATCCTTTTGTCTCTAGGAAGAGGCTCTGGTTTTACCATTCGGAAATAATTACAGACTATTTGGAGTTATGAGGGGTGCCAAGCTAATCTAGAGGTACCCGAGATTAAACATTAAATGGCTGGAAACGAGCATAATGAGCAGCCATGGGCTCTTTAAGGATGTCAGTGCTTCTGCAAACACAAAAACACAATCCATGCTGAAATGGACCTTTTGTTAAAAGTGAGTTGCTGTATGTTGCAGGTACTGAGCTGCCGGTTGGTACGTACACTAATATCAAACACCTTTTAAAAGCACAGTTTTATGCATAGCTGTTAACATCACCAAGTAGTTCACAGTATGTGTGTGTGGGTTAACCATGGGTGATGGGAAGAGAATAAGTGTTAAGTGTAAAGGTCTGATGTTTGTATCCCTGGGTGTACTCCTGTAGTTTTACTACAGTATATGCCAAATGCAGTATAGGTAAAAATGTATTTGTGTTTAGTTTTACATCAAAATGTCCCCCTTTATCCATTAAGTGTCAAATCTTTTGGTGAATCATGTTGTGTTTAAAGCTATACTGTGCAGTGTGTTCAGATCCCCGCTAGCTGCCACCAGGGTAGCAGCTACTCTTCCTGGGGTTCACACGCAACAAAGCATAACGTGTAAAACAGAGCATCTAAAAACTAAACTCACAATACATCAACTTCCATTCTGTAGTTGTTTGTGGCGTTTCCAACAACCAGAATGTGATGACATTCTCCGGACATTCTCAGGGAAACCTCTCTTTAATCATATGTCAGTCATATTGAATCAGATGCGTCCTGTTCCGCCCCTTTGTGTAGAAACACCCAGAAGAAAATCGCCATCTTAAAACAATTTGGTGGGACCTTTACAGCAAACACTGCATGTTTTGTTTCATCCAGGATGTTGAACCAATTCCACAGACACAAAATAACTGTATGCTTGCTCATTTAATACACGTTTCACTGAAAACACCAGTTAAACTCACCGCTGAGCAGCACGTGGTTGGGGTTGGAGATGATCAGGTCGGTTTAACGTAGAAAAAAAGAGGGTTTGCATGTCCAAATGTTCTCCCCCCTGCACAGAGGAAATGGCAGGTGCTTTGGTTATGCTTTATTATAGTTTTGTATATTAATACTACATGATCGTAACCCACCTTGACTGATGAAGAATCTCATTGAGTTTAATGTTCAAACCATCTTCTTTTGTACTTTAGAGTCTGACATTGGTTATACACACCCCAGCTCTTCTTTCATCTGTGGTTGAGTGATATTTTCAACTTTTATCTTTTGAAGTAAATGTCAGTTTTAAAAACTCCTGTGATTGACGCCTGAACCCGGATCTGTGAGGTGACAGTGCTAACCACTGTTCCACCATGCCACACAACAAAACCTAAAAGAATTATTTGCCAACAATAGCACTTTTAAATTGGCTGCACAATTTTAAATAAGGAATTGGATCAATATGAGGGCCAAAAATATTGGACTGAAACATCCCTAAATTGATATCCTTATCAGTAATAGATCATTTCTTTCCCCTGGTGAACAGGCGTCCCCTCTGCTCCCGGTCAAGTTGTTGCCACCAGGAACACCAAGTCGTCTGTGTTTGTGCAGTGGGAGGCTTCCAAGCAACAGAAGAACCTCATGGGATATTACATCGACGGCCGGATTGCTGGATCCAAAGAGTGGTTTGCTTGTAACAACAAACCTTTCAAACACACCAGGTGAGTGTTGACCGGATCTGTAGGGCTCCCTTTAACTGAGACGTTTCAGCTCTAGGCATTTAACCCAACATGTTCTATTCAAGATTTCAGATATGCTTCTGTTTAATGTTTTAACCGCTTCACTCTCAGACACATTTCTGTTATCACCCATGGGCACAGTGACTTTGTTGTGTCTCAGCTTGTTTTGTGGCTGTGCTCTAATCCATCACTGTGATCACTTTGTCTGTGCTCTCACTTCTAAATGTATAAGTTTGGACTTTGCACTTAGCCGCTTTAATTTGCTCTGGATGATGACAACAGCTAACTGTTCAACTGTATCTAATGTACATGGATGTGTGTGTCTCAGGTTTGTGGTGCACGGGCTGATCCCAGGGGAGACCTATGTGTTCCGTGTCCAAGCCGTGAATGTCTTTGGCCTCAGCGAGGAGTCTGCAGAGTCCTCCCCCATCTCTGTGGAGCCAGCCCTCGGTAAGAGCCACGCCACAGGAGTGCTTCAAAAAATCTGCATTGCTGCAAATGCTTGTTAAAAATATATCAAAATGAACAAGTGAGGACAATGGAAAATATATAATTTAACACAAACTGTCATCTCTAAGATTATCAGTGCCAACAACATGATCAAAGTTGATGTTGATTATTCTGTCCAGGCAGGGCGGAGGAATATGGTATGTATTAAACAATCCATTTATGAAATCATTTCCTCCCACCTGACTTCCACACTCCTAACTCTGGGACCAGCTTCACTCTGATTTATGTGATTTAATTACAGGAATGTGTATTTTCTACATTACTGTACACAGTAATAACAGAACACTTGTTAGTGACGGATCGCTGCACCCTGCTTTACAAAACAAATGCATGAAGGTTCCTGCCACACCTTTGTCTCTTCTAGCTGAAACAGTTTTTACAGCTCTGGACAAAGATGCCACTTAAGTATCTAAATTAACCATGAAGTTCTGTGTGATTCAGCGACCCCCAGCGCTCCCTACGGCATCAGCATGCTGAGCAGTGACGGCTCCTCCATAACTTTGGCTTGGAAGAGTCCCAAACACCGCGGTGGCTCCAGGATCAACGCTTACTACGTCGACAAGCGTGACGCCGATGCTTTGGAGTGGCAGGAGGTCAACCTGGTTGCCACCACAGAGAGAGTCTGCACAGTGAGTGCCCTCAGTCTGACCCCTGCTGTAGGAGCCCAGTCCAGTCCAGGACTCGGGACTCGGAGTCCCGAGTCTGAGTTACAGCGACTTAGATTCAGACTTGAGTGTTGACTGCAGTCAGACTCGGAAGTTGGAAACAAGGACGCTGACTTTTTTTTGTTATAGGCTGTAATAATTTAGCATAAGATCTGCTTGCCTGTACCCTGCTGTAGCCATCACACACCCATCGACACATGCACTCTACCGTTCTATAAATGTTTTATGTATCAAATCCCTGAACACTATGGTGACACAATACACCACTAGAAAGCTTGGAATCTCAGTATTTGCTACCTCAAACCAGTAAATGAAGCATTATTCACCAGCTGACTTTAATGTAGACCCGCTGACTCAGGTGACAGGGACTCGACTCTCTATTCTCTGACGAGTTGGTCTTGAGACTTGACTCAGGCAGGACGTTTAGTGACTCGACTACGACTCTGAATCAGACAAAATCATTCACTAAATTAAAAGATGTAAGTTTGTTTTGGAAGCTTTTAACCAAAACTTTAGACTAAAAAGTTCAAGCAGAAACTTTACACTCACTTTGTGTCGTCATGTAGACAAGTGAAAGTAAAAGCATCCATTCATTTACACTCACTGTTTCTGAGAACCCTGCCACGCCACTCTCTCTCTATCTTCAGGTTGGCAATCTGACGGCGGGAACCTTCTACGAGTTCAAGGTCCAGGCCGGTAACCTGGCCGGTGTCGGTGTGCCATCAGCTCCTAGCGCGCCGATGAAGTGTGAAGCTTGGACCATGGATGAGCCAGGTACAAGATCACAGCTGTTTCTCAAATTAGACAACACTGGTAGCTTCTTTTCTTTCTCTGTCTGACTCTGTAGGTTCTACTGTTCTTAACAGTGAACAAAACTTTATTTAAACAAAGACGCACAGACACCAGCTCTTAGCCTCCACTAAAGGTGTAGTCCATTAAAACACCTTTAACAAATTGAGTCCACCGGATTAAAGTGCTCACGAAAATGCTGCAGATTTAATTGTCCAATTACAAGAACTTCGTACCTAAAAGGCCTGTTTACTACCTGGATGTGCGTAGTTAACTGACCTTCACTGATTTTCATATTTGCAATTTTTTTTCTTTAATTGCAAAATGAAATGTTTACAGGACAAAGGACATAACAGAAGATAAGACAAACATTTACAAGAGAGACAAAGGGATTTTTACATTTAGTTTGTGTGTGAAGGTGTGCAGCATGGGTGTACCCTACTCTATGCTGTCTGATATTCAGTATATATTAAAGAAAAATAAAATGAAAAAATTAATTAATAAGGGGGAAGAGGAGAAAAAGTAAACTAAGGTTCCAGAGCCTACATAGGAAGCTGGTTTATCTGAGGCCGTCCTTTGAGATTAACCACTGAGTTATCCTGTGCCAAGAACCAGAGTTTGCCTGAATATACCCTAAATATTCTACAGCTGGATACTAACACACATTGATAAAAACAACTGTGATGGCTTAATGTGAGATCCTTTCGTGCATCAGAGCACAACATTGTAGAACTCCTGAGTTGCAGAAATGCCTTCATCTATCTACAGTATAAGCTTCTTATCACTGACTCATGTTTTCACCTCCAGGCCCACCTTACGACCTGAGCTTCAGTGAGGTCAGAAGTCACTCCCTGGTCATCGTGTGGAAAGCTCCCGTCTACAGCGGAGCAAGCGCAGTCACTGGATACTTTGTGGACATGGTCAAGAGGGGCTCCTCCGACTTTGTCACCCTGAATCAGGAAGCTGTGACCCGTCGTTTCCTGCAGGTAGGAGACTGGCTGTCCAGCTGGAAACTGTTTGACCATCATATTAGCGAAAACTATAAACATCTGCTTTTACTGCAGAATTAGAACCTACAGTGTATGAATACTAACCCAAGACCTTTAACAAAAACCCAAACTTTGGTGCCAGAATCAGCTTTAATGGCCAGGTGTGTTGGACACACGAGGGATTTGGTTCGGGTACAGTGGCTCTCAGTGTGCATATACAAGTAAACAATATAAGGCTGAGAGAACAAAAAGGAATGTGCATTGAGAAAAAATAAAAATAAAGTACTTATAAATGGAGAACTATATGTACACACAGTTTAGATGCCTTTTCCAGATCGATAGGTGTATTTACAGGTGCTGCACTGAGGGTTATTGTCCAGTAATACTGGACTGCAACTGTCATGGGTCAGGTGTTCATCAGAGTGACAGCCTGGGGGAACGCCGTCCAGAGGGGAGGAGTTCAGACAGTTTATGTCCAGGGTGTGAGGGGTCTGCAGTGATCCTCTCCACCCCCATTTTGACCCGTGAGGTGTACAGGTCCTCCATGGAGGGCAGGCTGGCACTGATGGTTCTCTCTGCAGTCCTGACTGTCTGCTGAAGTCTGTACTTGTCCTGTTTAGTTGCTGAGCCAAACCAGACAGTGATGGAGGAGCAGAGAACACTCTGCTCCTCCATCAGTGTCTGTTGACTGGATGATTCCTCTGTAGAACTGGATCAGCAGCTCCTGGCTCTGTGATCATGTGTCCATGCTTCCCTGCAGGTGACTGGTCTGGAGGAAGGTGAAACGTATGTGTTCAGAGTCCGTGCTGTCAATGCCAATGGTATCGGGAAACCATCTGAGCTGTCTGAGCCGGTCTGTGCCAGAGCTGCTCCAGGTATCAACATCTTAACGCTGCTCACTAACAACTAGGTTCATTCTGCACCTTAGACAATAACAATACTCCTGCAGACATGTGCTGTCTTTCACACGTTGTGGACGTCATTCCAACCTTTTAGCAGTTTACAGTATAGCACTGGTACTTTACAGTAATGATGACAGTAACACTGTAACTGAGTACCTCTTTGACCTTCACCTATTGTACAGCTATGATACAGCAGTTAGTCCCTGACCTTCACATGTGGAACCTCTGGATCAACATCACCACTAATTTCTATATAAAATAAAAATCTTTAATCCAAAGGAGGAAAGTAATTAAGTGCTTTTACTCTAGCACTGTACTTATGTTCAATTTTGAGATATTTGTACTTATTTCATGCCACTTTGTACTTCTTCTCCACTACGTTTATATTTAGTGACTTTACTGATTCAATTAATGAATTGTATTGTATTGTTACATGTTACGACACCTGTATCAATATGGGGGGTTCACAATTAGCTGCAACTTTAACCCTTGTGTTCTGTTAAGGATCTTAAAGTGACTCATTAATAATACATCGACAAATTTCCATTAATAGAATATTTATTGTTCTGAAATGTGCCATTCTGCACAATGAGTGCTTTTACCTTTATCACTTGAAGTATATCTTCATGCTAATACTACTAACATTTGAATGCATCACTTGTAAAAGTATTTCCTCAGTGTGTTATTGCCTCTTACATCTGAGGTACACACTGTGTAACACAGCTTGTCAAGTAAAGCTAATGGTACACTGATACATGAAGATGAACTGTATGTTGTATTCACACAGCTCCGTGTTGTTTTGTGACTAAGAGGAAACATGACTGTGTTCAGTGGATTCAAACAATATATTCTTAGTATATTTTTTAACTTCTTCTTATCATAGAGCAAGAAAGTTGTGTACAATTGGAGTTAAGACTAATATGAAAGTCCTGTGTGGTAGTTCAAGGTGCAAAGAAATGCACAAACTACCTCACAACACGTTCGTGAACAACTAGAGTATGTTGTTTAAGATATAAAGAGCAATTTTGGACAAAGCAGAAACTGTGCTGACGTTCACAGGCACCAAGGAGATTGTGGCTGGTGTGGACGAGGAGACCGGAGACATCTTCCTGTCTCTAGAGGCCTGTGAGGTCTGCGCCACTTCCGAGTTTGAGTGGTCGAAGAACTACAGACCTGTCGCCGACTGCCCCAGGGTCACCGTCAGCACCAAGGGCAGAACGTAAGCCTGTGTAATCCCCCAGACAGACTTCAGTTCTTACTGGGCTTCAGTCAAAGAGGGACTGACTGTCTTTTGATGAATAAAATGTTCACCCGCACAGACACGCTCAGACAGAAAGCACAGGGTTTCCCCTCAAGGCTTTGTTCGTCTGGCCTTTTTCAGCGTGTCCTCTCTGAACAGGATCATGTTTCCCTTTCCTGTTTTCAGCATTTACAAGTGATGCTTAACATCTGAGCTCGTCTGAAATTCTTTTATAGACTGAGCCAAAACAGTAAAAAGTGTGCGAGGTCCATCCACATCTATTTTAACCTGACATCTAATGTTTTATTTTGAATCATTTTAATAGAAAGAACTACGTACTGTAATTTGGTACTAATAACAGGGACTGAGACTGTTGTTTCAATCTAGTTGGTTGCAATGAGTTTGATACTTAATAAATGTTGTCTAACATTTTTCACCTGCTGTCACTGACTAAACAATTTGGTCATGTTGGCATTTAGTACAAACTCTGTCTACGATCTGCAGTTTTACAACCTCTACTCAAAAAACCACGTTTGGATCAATCCATATTGAGTAATTTTAGGCCTATTTCTAAGTTACCTTTTATCTCGAAGATTTTAGAAAAAGTGGTCTATGCGCAGGTGAAATCCTTTTTAGATGACAATAATTTATTGGAGGTTTTTCAGTCTGGTTTTAAATGCATGCATAGTACAGAGTCAGCCTTACTAAAGGTTGTTAATGATATTTATTTGGCCACTGATGCAGGGGAGTATGTGATTCTTGTCCTGCTGGACTTGACTGCCGCCTTTGACATGGTGGACCATGACATTTTGATATCTCGCCTTCGCGACTTAGTGGGCATCCGTGGTGTTGCCCTAGCATGGTTTAATTCATATTTATCGGCTAGATCAGTGTCTGTTGGGCTGGCAGATGTGGAATCTGTCACAACCCCTTTGTTATCTGGGGTTCCACAGGGCTCCATTTTGGGGCCTTTGCTGTTTTCTCTGTATTTACTTCCCCTTGGCTCTATCTTTAGGAAACATGGGGTCTCTTTTCACTGTTATGCTGATGATGTCCAGATTAT